GCTCTGTACTAGACGTGATAGTATGTTTCTTTGGCTTGTGAATAGTGTGGTTTTACCTCATTTGCTGGCAAGAAATGCTCTGTGAACACTGTTTCTCAGTGTGATCTACCAGACACCAGATCAAGATCTTCCTGGATTTTGGAAAATTCAAGTCCCTTGCTCCCACTCCATAGCCACTAAGTTAAAGTTTTCTTTTCATTTGTCTGTGCTATCTGCTTCCATCATGAGAATGTCTACTTCATCTTTTGAGGCTTCCATCTCCAAGTTCTTAAATCAGAGGGTTAGATTGGAACCTACCAGTCAAGGAATGCTGACAGACACTAGGAGTGGGGGACAGTTTTCTCCTATGCCTCGATGGGGCTCAGTCTTGCCAATACCTTAATTTCAGACTCTGGTTTCCAGAACCATGTGAGAATGAATTTTTGTTCTTTTGATAATCCAGATTGTAGTAATTTGTCACATGTCACTTCTAAAGGTGAAAATATTGCATCTGAGGTTGGGATGACAGCATAGTAGGCAAAGGAAGTTAGTAACCTTGGTGGCATAGCAGTAGAAGCTGTTCAAATAGAAGCACAGAGGAAAAAAGGCTGAAGAAAGCTAGCAGAACCTTAATGTGGATTGGTTCAAACAGGTTGATAGACATCAAATTAGAGGACGAGGAAAACCAGGGAAAAAGATGCCTGAAGAAATAATGGTAAAAATTTGTTCAGATTTGACGAAAACTGTAAATCCACAGATTTAAAATCTAAAAACATGCTTAACATGATTGGTGAAGAGAAAATCTTATAAGCAGTAGAAGGAAGACAGATTATTTTCAGAGGACCAAATATAAGAATTATTACAGACTTGTCAACCGATGACTTGCAGGCCAGAGACAGTGAAGCATCTTTAAATGATGACAATGCCAGGTGGAAACTCTGGTAATCTGATATTCTATACAAAGTAGAAATGTTTTCAAATAAATACTTTTTCAGAAAAGCAAACAACTTTATGTACTCATTATTTACTGAGCAGCACAGTAAGAAATAGTGAGGAAATTCTTCAGGGCTAAGAATGTGATACTAGAAGGAAATTTGAATGAAGAACAGCAGAAAGGTAAATAGAAATCATTCTTGTTCTTTTTTCACGTTAGATATGTCTGACTGCTTACAGCAAAAAAGCATAACAGTGTGTCATGGAGTTTATAACATATGCAGAAGTTTGAAAGCTCAAAAGCATAAAGATTAGGAAGGGGAGATGAAGTGTGTTACTTTAAGACACTTATGCTGGAAATGCACTAGAAATGTAATATTATTTGAGACTACACAGTGATTTCATAAAGGTGAGTAATATAAACCCCAGAGGAACTACTGAAGTACATATGCCTCCCCCAAAGGCATGGAACAGAGAAAAACAGGGAGAGAGACATACGGGATAATTATAAAACAAATAGGGTTGTCGATACAAGGCTGAGTATATAGATGACAGGTCATGTTAAGAAGAGGGTCCTAGAGGGAGGGGGAGGGTAAATGAAGAGGGTGAAAGAGAATGAAAATGGTCATGTGTTTTCTATATATGCATGAATTATGGGACATGGAAGCCTGTCAGTCATTCTATGAAGGGCGAGGGAAGAGGGAGAAAATGGAGGGGATGAGCCAAACGGGTACATTGTACATTGCATATATGGAAATATCACAGTGAAACCCCTGTACAACTATGATGTTAGGTACTAAAATATTTTTTAAAAGACATTATAACAAGTGGTCCAAACATTCCAATTGAAAGGCATACTGGGTGGGGAGGAGATATCCTAAGTAAGCACTGTCACAACATTAGGGTGGTCATACAAATAGCAGAAGGAATATTGCTGGAGTACGATCAGCATTTCCTAGTACCAAAGGAGTCAGTTTACTAAGATAACAGCAATCTTAACTCTTCAAAATAAAATGACAATCTATGTACTGGGAATAAAAGCTCTCAATTCGTGTCTGAAAAAGGACTGATATTTACAATCAGTAATGAACTCCAACATCTCAATAACGAGAAAATTTACTAAATTAAGTAAAAGGCCTTGAACAGACTCTTCAGAAGAGACAATACTGTGTGTGTGTGTGTGTGAGAGAGAGACATGAGTGTGAGTGTGTGTGTATTGTGCAGGCAATGCACACAGGAAAGAGGCTCGGCATTAGTAACCAGGGAAGTATGGCCGGACTCTGCAGTAGCCCTGCTTAGTCAGCTAAAATGACATAGATGGACATCGGACATCACAGGACATCGCCATGCGTGAGGTGACAGGCATCGCCATACACTGTTGACAGGGATGTGAAAGCATGTTGGAAGACATTGGGTAACCCCACGCAAAAGTTATCATACATTACATTGTGCAAATTTACTCATAAGTATTTACCAAAAGAAACAAAGACATTTCCACAAAAAGATTTGCATATAGCCATTTAGAACGAGTTATTTATAATTAGTCTATACTGACACAATCCAAATTCCCTCAGATAATGAATATATAAATTTTAATCAATCTATACAATGAAATATTGGTGACAAAAAGGCTTAAGCTACTGGTATTCTAGAATGTGTAGGAAATTCTAATGTTTTTTGTATGAAACAGGACATATTGGTAGTTAAGTGAGTATATGACTGAAAGGAAGAGAGAAATGTCTGGGTAGATGGAAAGTTTACTTGCAGTGGTGGTGACACTTTTGTTTACACTTGTGAACACCCTCAAAATATGTGAATCTGTAAATCTGACTAATAAAACGTGCCTGATGGGTTTTTACTGAGTTATAAATAAATTCTCAGTGAGCTCCATGATGGAAGGGCCAAGTTGAAAGGCTCCACCACTCCTTCTTACGTCAGTTTACATCTTAGTTGAAGACCAGACCATTTCCTCTCAGTTGTGTGTGTGCATGTGAACAGGAAGTTTTCCTCCATATAGCCACAAGGTGTCAGGGCAGCCTGCTTTCTAACACTGCAAAACGCTCCACGGTGGGCTCAGAGGTGTGGCTCAAATACCACAGTCCTAACAGTGATCCTTTGATGTCTCGAATGGCAAATTCCTCTCTGTCTGCAAGTTGAAAGAGTGGCCATGCTTTCAAGGACTCCGGCCAGGCCTTGTCCTTTGAAGTCTTGCTCACAGAGACTTCCTGCGGGACTCACATTTTTATCCACCCCAAACACCAAGCTGACTCCTCAGGAAGCATCCACCTGGAGTCAGGCAGACAGAAGCAGAGCTGGGTAGCACCTTGCAGGCACTTTTCTTGCTTGTAGAGTGAGCATTTGTGACTCATGTTGTCCTAATTGTACACAACACACAGAGAGCACCTGACCCAGAAGTCCTGGGATGCTCTCTGATTGACTTCTGTCTTAGAATGCGCTGAGCACTGGCCTGCTGCTCCCCACACTTTTTCCTTTGCACCTGTTGTCACTACTAAGGAGCGGGTAGAACCGCAGAAGGGCCCAGAGGAGGACAGCCACAGTAGGGCCTATTCCTCCCATTGGCTCAGATCAGGAGCAATGGGCCAGCTCTGCAGGCCTCTGTCCCCTCTGCCAATCACTGCTGTCCCCACATGAGAAATTACTGCATGGCAGGAGGCCAGTCATGTCCAGCCCCTGTGTAAGAGGGAAGGAAATCTTTAAGGAGAAGCAACAACACACAATAAAGCACAAACAAAAACAGAGGCATGAGCCACAGTTAACCCCAGCTCCTTCAGCAGCAAAGCATCTTTTGGATGCATGGCTTTAGGGAACAGCCTAGCAAAACTGCAGCTGGCTGGGAAGATTTTTATGCCTCTGTGAGGGAAAGGAGCTTAAAACACAGAAACACACTCACATACACGTACCCTCTCACACAGATACACATGCACACACTCACATAATAAATGTACACATCTCAGAACAGCAAGCTATTTTATTTTATAAAAGAAATGGCTTAGTGATTTTTTTGTCTGGAGGAGATCTTTATGGACCTTAAAACAATGTCATATTTTACAAATTTTTGAGCCACGCATAAGAAATGGATTATCTAACCAGTGGGAAAAAATTAAAAATGCATTATATCTTACAGACAAAATGTTAACAGTGCCAACCTAGTGGAGCACCCACCCAAGGCTAAATTCACGTCCTTATCAAGTGAATGACTAACTGTGATGCACAGCTCAGACAGGATCACCTCTAGATTAAATTCTTACGGAGAACAGGAGACATCTAGTGCCTATTGTCTATAGGAAGACATGCTGCCAAGCACTTTGTCTTCTGAGAATTTCAGGGAAGATGTTCTACCCCTGGAGGACACTCACTAGAAAGAACAGAGAGCCTGGTTTTGGCTCGGTGAGGTGTTTTCCTACCAGGGCTGGCATGGTCCTGAGGGTGCCCCACATGTAGCCAGAGCCAGAGACTGGGCTCAGCTGTGAGACTTTCAGCCAGTGTGCAGGGATGGGACCTTCATCCCTTGGAGGCCACATGGCTGGGCAGTGTCACCCCAGACTGACAAGTGTGGGGTCATAACAGATCCAACTTCAACAACAGCCAGAAGCCATGGTGTCAGCAGCACACCCCGGCTCCAGCTGTGGCCCAGCCTTACATAGAGCACCTGTTTCCCTCGCTGCACTCACTGCTCTACCCATGTGGACTGACTTGGTTCTGGGATTCTGAGGGTGCAGGGGGAACAGAAGGAAGGGGGCTGGCTTTCCTGTGATTAAGGAATATGGAGTCTTGAGAAGTCACTTGAAAAGTTGAGAGAGGTGCTGCTACCTACGAGCTCCAAGGTCACAGAGCAGCTCGTGACAGTGCTACAAGATCCGAGTGCATTCTAATTATAGTCCCATGGACAAAAGAAAGTGGGTTGAGGACTAGGGTTTTAGGAAAAGGCACTGTTTGGCATGAGAAACCAACATGGGTTCATAAGTGAGGGAAAACCGTGATGCTGTAAGGGACATGTGTGGGAAAGAGGACGAGGCTCCCAGTCTTCAAGGTCTGAGAGTTCTCATTTTCCCTTTCTCTTTCTGCAGGAAAGAATTGGTAATTAATGTGAGTCAACTCCCTGTATAGCTATCCTTATCTCAACCAGCAAAAAGCCTTGTTCCTTCCTATTATTGCTTATACTCTCTCTTCAACAAAATTAGAGATAAGGGCAGAATAGTTTCTGCTGGGTATTGAGGGGGTGGGGGGGGAAGGAGGGGATGGAGTGGGTGGTAAGGGAGGGGGTGGGGGCAGGGGGGAGAAATGACCCAAGCCTTGTATGCACATATGAATAATAAAGCAATAAAAAAAAAAGAATTGGTAGCCATGGGGTGACAAGGTTTAGAAGAATACATAATGATTGGGAAAATATGACTTTAATGTTGAATCATCGCTTACAGGTGAGATGTTTTTTCTCCTTAGTTTTCCAAATTTGTTGAAGTTTTATAAAAGGACTCTGGCAAAAATCTAAACCAGTCTTAGATACGATTTTTTTTTCCCCATAGCTTATAAGAAATCAACACTGACGCTTTCTTTCAGTATTTCTGAGTTGGATCCAAAACACAAAAATTTGATTGAATTAGACATGTCAAAGAAAAATTGGTTCCAACTATTTAAAAATAAGTGCTTAGAGACAGTAAAGGATTTATTTGATGGTGTTCATAGAATAATAGCATTTCAAAGGAATTCTGTACCGTTCCATCAAAATATTAATTATATCTTAAAAAATTAACTTGATGGCAAAAACGTGTTTTATTTCTTCAACTGGATCTGGTGCCATTGTCTACAAAGCAATTGAGTGTGTGTCATAATGCACACTGACATCAGCCGAAGCATTTATTCTAATATTTCCTGCTTCATTTAAATCTAATTCATATTTAGCTGTGACATATTCTTTGTGAAATTTTATTTTCTTTCATTTTGGGGAACTGTTTTGTTACTCCATGCCTTTGGAAATTTCTAGAGAAGAAATGGTTCATTAGATGCTCCTAAAGGATTTGACTCAGTAAAGGCAACTCACACATTGAGAAGTGAATTTTAGTAAATCTTTTTAAGAAATGACAGCAGCCAGGCACCAATGGCTCACACTGTAATCCTAGCTACTCAGGAGGCAGAAATCAGGAGAATCACAGTTCAAAGCCAGCCGGGGCAAATCACAAAAAGGGCTGGCAGAGTGGCTCAAGATGTAGGCCCTGAGTTCAAACCCCAGTACAGCCAAAAATTAAAAAAACCACCCCAAAATGATGGGGGCAGGAGTGGTTTCAGCTGGAGAATTGGGTAGAATTTCTATACTCGTCAGTGTGCCTAATTTTTAAAGTATACCAGATATATTCCTTATGTTCCTCTGCCTACAGACTCCTGTCCACCTACCCGACCTTCTTCAGTTTCCTACACATGATTGGCCTTTCATCTTTCTCTCTGACTCGTCTTCTTCTCTACCCTATTCTTTCACTGCTTTGATGCAGTTCTGTAAAGACTCCTTTATTTGTGTCATTTGTGAACAATTCATTTCCCTACCTCACCACAAAAGTTTTCATTACAATAATGAAAGTATTAGCCATAGTGAATGAAAATCTTGTGCACACTTCTACTTTAAAGCATTGTAGATGAGAGAAATAGTGGTTGACTGATGGATGAACCGTCAGAGGCGTATTGCAGAAATGTGAATATTTAAAGCTTGTTAGATCCTTGGTGTAACTGGGATGTCTTATAAGTAGGAACGTTTATTTGACCTTATACATGGCTAGGGAAAATGTATTTATGTCTATGGCATAGTGTACTAGCAGAAAAATCCCACGTGTGCAAAAATGTCATTCACCAGATATACATATCTATAATGATTTAAAAAAAGAAAACACAATTGTTCTTTCTTGCTTTCTCACATGATATAAAAAATGTTTACCCAGTGATCTTTGCTTATTTATCTTCTTTACGTTCTGATAAAATTAGCATATGAAAACTCTGAAATTAATGACAGTAGTAAGAAAGTAGTATTTAGATGTTGTGAAAGTGACAATGGCAGAGAAGGATTTTTAATGTGTCTTAAGAACACTTGAGTTTCTCAGTGATTATACTTAAGAAGATAAGTGTTTTTGATACTTTATTATCACTGTACAAAGGGGTTTCATTGTGACATTTCCGTATGTGCATATGTTGTATTTCCATCTAATTCACCCTGTTACTCTAAGAAAATGTTCCCGAATTAGACATAATATAGGAATAGCCCAACCCTACAATCAATGATGTACTTATTTTTCGTGGCACTGGGGTTTGAACTCAGGACCTTGTGCTTGCTGAACAAACACTCTACCACTTGAGCCATGCCCCCAGCCCTATAAAATGACTTAAAAGAAAGGTTTATTAAATTTAAATTTTCATTAGAAAATAGATTTTTCAAATGGAAGTGCTTTGTTTTTACTGATAAATAAATTGATGTATGGAAAATTTATATGTCAAATAGAATTGGGTATAAAGTCTAAAAATTAATTTTGCTTTATTTTTATCTAGAAAAATTTTCTTATACTTGGTATACTATTAGTAACATGCTGTATTATAAGGAGATTGAAAAAAATTGCATCTTGGGTATTTATGCAAAGCCAGAAGTGTTATTAATGGGTGATTATTACATTAGTCAATGAAGAATCATCAATGAAATCACTGCAAATCGGTCCCTGGGAAGACATTCAACACTGCTGGATTTCAGGAAATGAAAATTAAAATCACATTATGGTACATGACCAGGGAGTCTATCATGGAAAAGAATGGCCACACTCAGTGTCAGGGAAGATACAGAGGACCACTACTGCTGTGACTGCAGCATGTCACAATGCTTTGGAAAGGGTTGGCTATTTCTCAGAAACTCTACATGCACCTTCCTTGTGACCCAAGGAAGAAATAAAGGCTCATATCCACATAATATGTTCATGGAAGCTTTATTTGCAATAGTTCAAAACTGGGGCACAGGGTTCAGAACTGCAAAACTCAAATGCTCATTATCAGAAGAGTGGGGAAATAAATGTGAGGTATCTGTCCAACGAAAGACTGTTTAACCACAAAAAGGAACAAGCTATTGGTGGACGTTACAAAATGGATGAATTTCAAAATAATTATGTAGAATGAAAGAAGCTGAACAAAATACTGCATAATTTCATCTGTATAAAGTTCTAGAAAATGCAAACCTACCCATAATGACCAAAAGCAGGTTTGAACTTTGCTTGGAATGGAGGTGAAGTGGGAGTGAAGGATTTCAAAGTGGCAGAAAGAAAAAGAAACTTTGCATGTGTTGTGTGTGTTCATCATATCATTGGGGTCCCCCAAACCTGTCAGAATCAAAGGGTGCACTCCAAAATGTGCTGTATACTGCACACTAAGCACACCTCAACACAGCTATTAAAAGAATACAAATCAAGAGTCCAGGCACAGTCACACACAATTGTAATCCCAACTACTTGGGAGGCAGGGATCAGGAGAATTTCAGTTTGAGGCCAGTCTGGTAAAAAGTTAGAGAGAACCCATTCAACAACAACAACAAAAAAAAAAAAAAAAAAAAAAAGCTGGGCTTGGTGGTACATGTCTGTCATTCCAGCTACACAGGAGATGTAGGTAGGAGAATGGAAGTTCAAGGCCAGCCCCAGGCAAAAACATGAGAACCTATCTGAAAAATAACTAAAGCAAAAGAGCCTGGGGTGGGGGGTGCTTTTTCAAATAGTAGAGCACCTGTCCAGAAGTGTGAGGCCCTGACTTCAAATTCCAGTATGGCCAAAAAAATTTAAAATGGTAAAATAACACAAAAACTACTAGAGAATATCTACTCCAATAGAAACCAGTTATTGTTTTGGACATTTTATGGCATGTTGCTCCATTTTACTAACCTAGAGTGATGTGGTCTCTGGAACTTGGGGCCCAGTCTATTTTACCTTACGCTTCAACAGCTCCATCACCTGAATGGCTGGGAGCCACCTTACTGGCTTCTCCTTACCAGTGGCTGTTGGGAGAAGTGATTCTTGTACCTGGTGTCATGGGATTTGGGCACCCAGGTCTACAGCCAGAAAGTTCTCTGATGGGAGAAAGAATTCAAGGGTAGACACGGGAGACTTTGGCAGGTTTATGAACGCAAAGCAAAATGAAAGCAGAGCCAAAGCACCCTCCAGATGGGAGGTGGGCAGACTCAAGAAGGATCATAGTGCTGAGGGCCCCACGACCCTAAGCTTTTACTGGGGGTTTATGAACTGGGGTGGACCATCCAAGAAACTGGGTTAGGTGTCATCGACTCCTCGCACATGTCAGGTGAAGTTCATTCCCACAGGCTATGGGAGCTGCAGCTCAGCCAGACCTGAGTCGATGTCACGAGTCCTTCTGCTAATGTCAGCAGCCCAGGATGTGACTCCCTTATTAACATCCAAGCCATCATTTTGGCCGTCAGGCTTCCTAGCTCTCCTCCTAACTCCTACATCAACATGTGATTCAAATGTAACTGTTCCTAGAACCAAGGCAGGAATTCTGGATTTTTTGTTGTTGTTGCAACTTTCTATTTATAGGTAGGAAGCTTGAGCCTCTCATGCTTCTTTTTCTTTAATCCAATCTGCACAGCTAACTCTGTTTATACCTGTCTTGGTGTTTGTTTATTTTCTCCAGGTCTTGGAGCAACACTCCTCAAACAGGGTGGAGTTCCTTCTCCCTCAGCTCAGGTCTGTGACTGGCAGAGGACAACTGAGCAGGATGCAGGAAATCTTCAGACAGCCTGCGTGAAGCACAGCTGGCATGACCAGTGCAGCAGTCCCCAGACTCAGGGTAAGGGCATTGTCCATCCTGGGCCACCACCCTACAGAGGAGATGCGGTGGGGTTGCTTGGCCTCAGTGTCCATGTGGTGTCAGCTTTGGGGGTGGTTCTGGGAGGCAACTCTGTCCGTCTGCTCCCCTTGACTTGACCACCTTTGGTCTCTCTAGAGGTAGGAATCTGGTGACCTTGGATCGCCTGACTGCCTGCTACTCCATCTTCCTTGCAGGAACCGTGATGGAAGCCTGTGTGGGAGACCTGCCCTTCATGTTGGAATCCAAGAAGGGTGTCTCCAGTCCCCCCAGCAGCGGGAGCTGCCCTGGGCAGGCCCACAATTGGCTCTTAGCTAGAACACCTGTGATTTAGAGCAAGAATTGAGATAAAATCAAGGGAAGAGAAACATGTTCATTTATGTTTTCTCTTGGAAATTAAAAAAAAAAAACAAACAAGCAATGAGGTTGTACTTGCTAAATTTTTTCAAAGTCTATATGTGAGGCAGAGGAGGGTGTCTGGGCTGGGGCTGGGGCTGCAGCAGTGCCTTCTCCACAGAGCCCCCTGGAGGAGGTGAGAGCTGTAGGGTCTCTGCAGCCCTGGACTCACAAGTGAGGGACACAGCAGTGACTAGGAGGCTCACCCCAGAAGCTCCGGTCACTGCTCCTGATCCTGCTGTAGCCCAGGGCCGGTCACCATGACCCCTTGCACAGGTGGCATGTATGTTTTAGCCACACATCCTCAAGTATTGAAGGAGCAGTTCTTACATACGGTTCATATCATATCCTGAAAGACCCCCAAATACCTATATGCTAAAGACTTGGCCACCAGTGGATGGTGCTACTGGGAGGTGGTGGAACCTACAGGAGGCAATGCCTAGTGGGAGGACATGAGGTCACTGGGGGTGTGTTCTTGAAGGGGACGTTGGAAGTCAGCCTTTCCCTGTCTGTCTTTACTTCCTGGGCAGAATTAGATGAACAGAATTGCCCCAGGACCTACTACTGCCTGCCATCATGTTCTTGCACGGAGCAGTAAGGCCAAGCCACCATGTGAAACCCCTGAAATCATGAGCTCAAAATAAACCTTCTTCCTTTTAAGTTAACCTTCTCAGGTTTTTTGTCACAGCAGGAGAAAACTGACTAATACAAATTGGGATTAGATTCTAAAACAATCCCAATTCTTCCTGCAGGAGTAGATACACTATATATAATATGTATATAGATAGACAGATAGATAGATAGATAGATAGATAGATAGATAGAGATGGATAGATAGGTATTTCACTTTGGAGCAGTATGTGTTTAAGCTTTTCTCTAAGGGGTCAGATATCATACTAACTTGTGTTGGAGGCAGGTCCTTTTAGGAGTCTGCATTCACACAAACACATTTCTGATTTCGTGTCCTCTGAGAAGAGCTTGTTCTTGGTGTTTGAAAGCTCAGAGGTGGTGGGTATTTAGTCATGCCAGAGCAGTACTCCTACAGCTTTGATCTTTTCAGTTCCAATGTGAATTTTACACCACTTTTTCCAGCATACTTTGTTTTTATCACAAAGGACTAAGACTCAGCCTTTGATAAATTCTCTTTTGCAGAAAGTAAGAAAAAAAGGGTGGGGGGAGCATTTGGGACCTTATGAAAATATCATTTTTACCTTAACTTTCCCTGATGCGATCATTTGAAGTTTGAAGGGTAGCACACACACACACACACACACACACACACACTCACACACACATGCATGCACACACTCACATATACCTCCAAGCATGAAAAAGTCTGAATTAAATCAGGCACCAGGCAAACGGGTAGAAATTGAAAGAGAGATGCTCTGACAAGCCTTTTCTTTATTCTCTTGAGCTAATTGTGTCACTTGACATGCTGGCGTCAGGAATAGTGAGATTCTGACAGGCTAATTTGAGCTTGTGGTTCCAATGAAATGTACATAAGGCACTTGTTATATTTAGTGACAATCAGTGTCATTTTCTGTTTTAAAGCAATGCACTTATTTGGATGCCCATGAGTGCAGTAGCCCTTTGAGGTGAATGACAAGGCTGTTTGGGGTTGGGTGACGGTTGGGACCAACGTAGGCGAAGGCCTGGTCATCAGGGTGGTTGGGTACACATGCAGGGCAGGGCCTCAGGAAACTTGGTAATTGTGACAATCTTGCATTTGGCAGTAACAGGAGCCTTGCTTCCTGCTTCCATGATTTTGCTCAGAGGCAACATCTCATAGACTTGGAGTAGCTGAGGACCAAACAGTGACATCATCTAACTGCCAGTCCAGCTTGCTATAGTTTTGTAGTGCAAAGTTAAAACCTAAATCATATGGACTTAGAGGACATGCTAGGTATTAGAACAGAAATAAATAAATAAATGAAACAGGAAGGCAAAGAGGACACATTTTGCCAGTAGGTGTCGCCATCAGACCGTAGCAGGGCATTGCTTTCTGGCATTGTTCTACTGGGGAGATTAGAGCCCTATAAAATTTCCTGTTGACACAGAAGGTGAAGTCAAGGGTTGAAATAAAGACCACTGTGAGTCTTTGAAAATGCCGCATGTCAGCAGCTACCAAGAGTGACCCTTAAAAAAAAAAGCCCTGAGGAGCGAGGACGCCCAAGGGGGTACTGAATCAGTTTCATATTTCCTGGTTGAAATAGTGTCTGATGTCACTGGGCAAAATGGGTGCACAGATCTTGTCTGTTTATCCCGGCAACACTCATTAGACGACTCGATACTTCATTTAATCATAAAGGAAAGAGTTGTATTAAAAATTATACAACTTATTTCTTAAAAAGATAGTGAAGATATTCTGAATAATATATTTTCTAAACCTTGATTTAAAAAAATTTTTTATCAACTCTTCTTCAAAGGATGGTAGTGCTCAGACAGCAACGAGTGTTCAGGTCAAGGTGGTATGTAATTACACTGCCAGATGGGACATTATTTCTGCCAGCCATGATTCTAATTTAGTCTTTTCCTTCATCCAGGACTAAATTGACTCTACTTGATAGAGCCATATACCACCCAAAGCCACCCCGCTGCCTGTGTGGCATTCTGATCTGCACCTATCCTGTAACGTTTTGGACAAGCTGCTGTTTTAGATTGAACAAAGATGAAATAGCAATCCTATTAGAATGACTAAGCTCCAAAGAGACTCGGAAGATTTAAACAACGTCTAAACTAGGCTGACGTGGTCCTCTGACCCTGGAAAGTCTTATAGGACGATGATAGGTACACCCCAATTGGCAAGCTAGGGACCTAAACTGCTATTACTTTAATGTCAGGTCTGAATTATCCCAGCAAGAATTTTTGCTGAAAAATCTTTATTGAGACAATTTATGTCTCCCTTACTGAGAGTGATCATCAGCTAAAGCTTTACTTAAGTCCTCATCCCCCAGTCACTGTGGTTTCAGGGCAATGAAATGTAATGGAGTCACAGATGGGCAATTTGTGAGAAGCAGTAGTCCAGCGATGAGGATTTGGGCGCTGGCTTCTCTCCAGAGAGGTGTGTTAGTTCCAGTTTGCTGTGGAATAGTAAAGACAGGGGACAGAATTGAAAGAAATAGGCTTAAAAATCTGAAGCAGGAGGGATGGAGAGAGAGAGAGAGAGAGAGAGCGCTCTCAGAAGCATGTAAGTACTGACAGAGTTTTGGAAGCCCCTGGAGTGTTTATCTTATTTTTTTTTTCTTACTAGAGTGACCAACTACTACCCAAGTCAGAGTCCTAGTCAGGTAGTAATGATAATTTTCCAGAGAAAATTTAGGATTGGCCAATTTCATGAACTCCAGCTGCTAAATTCTGCCTTGTTACTCATATGTGCCATCAAATTAACTCTGATTCTCTCCAGGACCTCTGAGTTCACCCATCCCTGAATGCTACCACTGCTCCAGGTATAAGATCTTTCCTAACTTTTTCTTCTTGTGGAAAACTCTGCACTTGAAGTTGGAAGCTCTGGGTTGCATCTCATTTCTGGTTCTGTATATTCCTCTCCCAGTCCAAACCTGGCCAAGCTATGTTGACATCACCTTTCAGAGCATCCTTAATACAAAACTGTCCTGCCTCCATTCTGGTCACACTCAGGAAGGAGAGTTGTTGTCAGGCTTTTTGTTCTTCTCTGTGCTGCTTCAAGGTCATCCCACCACAGATCCTGAACACTTTTTCTCATTCATCCACACCACCTGACTATATCAACCTCTTCAAATGATGAATGGCCCTGGGTCATTGACCTTGAGCATATCCTGACGCCTTCTGGGCAACACAGGAGTAGCTCCACCTGGTCACAAGGCCGGCCAAGAATGGGCAAGCAGTGGACATTACCATCATGCATTTCTGTTTCTGTGTCTCCCATGAAGTCTTGCTTTCTTCCTCAACCAGATGTCCATTGTCCTTTCCAAGTCCTCACGTACAAAGGATGCTCATTTCTCAGCCTAACTCTTCCAGCTGGCATCTCTGAATCCTTCAAGATCTTATCTTTAGTCTGTCCTTTGTCTTTTTTTTTTAATCTTAAGATTCTCCCTTACCCCATTGCACCTTTTCCATGTCTACAGATATAGTCAGAGTTTCCATGAAGGAAAAGAAGTGTTTGTCTTACTGTGAAAAGTTGTCCAGTATCACTTCTAACACATCAAAAATTGTCACTTTTGTTCTGGAAGCTGTCTCAGGAGTTCAACACCTTTTCTTGAATTTTGGAGAAGGTCTTGGAGTTGGTTTCATGACTTCTGTTCATGTCCCTTCCATCCAATCCTCCATCCTTTAACAGAAGTGATCTCCTTTAAACATGCATTGTTATATCACTTTTTGGCTTATAATATCCTGTGTGTTCCAGTTACTTCTAGAACACAGAGCCAGTTCCTCTGTGCTGCACAGGACCTGTGCAGTGGGAGCTGTGCCACCCTGCAACCTCCCTCTTTGCTGCTTATACCCTTGTCTGTCCATGGGCAGCCACACTGTCCCCTGTGTCAGGCCACATTGGTCTTTCTGTTCCCCAGAAACGTTGTGTTTGTTGCTCCTGCTCCAGGAATGGTTCCCCCCAGATCTGCTGCTGGTGCCTCCCCCCACTGCTAACCTGACATAACCTGCTTCTTCCTTTTCCAGCATTGCCTGTCTAGCCATGGTCTCCCTGAAATGCAGAATCCATGAGTGCAGCGATCATTTCTGTTGGGTTCACATTTGCATTCCCTGTAGGCACTCAACACAGTGTCTAGTATATTAGACACTTTAAGCAAAAAAATCTATTGAACTAATAGATTAATAACTGAATGGATGAACTGATTAACCCTGACCTCAACCAGCCGTCTGTTGTGCATCAATGCCCCATGAGCTGGGCTTCTGGTGTCTTTTCTGACTAGTCTGTATCTTGTCTTCTGGCTCTGTTCCATC